CTTTACTTTATGACCGGTCCCTAATTGCAATGTTTTTGCAGTGCCCCCAGAAATCAATAGGGACCTTAAGCAACCACGACGGCGACGGCAACGAGGACGTGGAAAAACACTGAAGAGATCTAATTGGCAGAATAATAGCTCAGCACGTGCATTTTGAAACTTTGTAAATTTCTTAGCCGTCCTATGAAAAAAAAAAACAACGTGAAATCGCCAAAATTTGCGTCGTCTGCGAACCGAAACCGGGACGGCAAATTATTTTAATCTCCATTTGGAACTCAACGCTACTTTTATACGTCATGCTGAAGTTGAGCTGTGGCGCCGTATGAGACAGTAAGCTCATGCAGCCATTTTTTAAATTCTAACTAAGGGTAGAAATTCATTTTTTAATCGAAGTCTTTCTTGGCGTTGCCGTCCGGACTGCTTATGGTCCCTAATGTTCAAACACAAGGATCCGATTTACCGGCAACTCAGTCATGTATCTCATTTCCCGCCAAAGAATTCGCCAATCACTGGGGGCGACCGTGGCCCAGTGATTCTTGGGTAATCGTTTTTGATCCGATAAGTTGGTAGAAAAATAGCATTTGTGCGGATTCAAGTTAAAGACGTAATTTACACGATTTAGCGGAGGTAATGGGGCTTTTTTCTTCCGGATTGGTGTGATTTGATCAACACTGTTAAGGTATGCTCGAGTTTCACCTGTTTACTAGGTATTGAAATCAATTTAAAGACAGACTTAGGGCTTATACGTATTAAGAAACTCAACCATACTTGGTACGTTTCTGAAATGTTATCGTTCATAAGCAAATTATCAATTTTTTAATGATATATTTGATGTTAGCAGCGTGATAGCTTTGTAAAAACTAGTACCTAGATATGCTACAGTAGATTTCAAAGATCTCGCCGAAAGCTCGATGATACAGAACTTAACGGTAATTGAAAAATGACGATCGCATGCTTCCATCTTCGAAGTTGGTGCTTTACGAGCTAATTGTTCCCGAGTATGTTAAGCGCTAAGGTGCTTCGTGGAGTACAAATAAATCTCATGTCAAAATACGACACAACTCGCAAAAATAACCAACGATATACACTACACAACAAAACGTTTTTGTATTTCTTGACGTAAGAACATGCCGATGAATTTTGGAGTTGCGCGTGTTTGTTTGTTTTTGTAGAGACGTTCGCACTTTAATTTATTGTGCTAATGCAAAATCAAAATCAAGTTGGCTGGTAGTCAGCCAGATGGAAAAGGTTTAGGTGTAAGCAATTGGTAAAGATACTCTCATGTTGCATTAAGTTACATTTGGTTCATTACATCTGAGCTTTTCATAGTGACTTTTCAGAGGACAACACATTTTCATTATAACTTACAAGTTTTCAGTGAGTTCTGTGTCCCACACTGGGACGAAAAATTTATAAAGAAATGTAATGATTTGTTCTGATCCTTACGGAATTTTTTATAGATGAAATGTACAATTTGTATCTTCTAAAAATCCTTGCAGTTAAGGTGGCTTAACACAATTTTAGATACCTTTGTTTCTTTCTCCATTTTCTCTAGAACCCTTGATCTCTCGGTCACCAAAACTGGCAGCAAGCAAGTTAACAACACAAACTTTGTTTATTTGATAGTTAAGCTGACTTATGTGTTGTTGCCATGGCGACATGAATAGATATAAACAGGCAATTAAAATGGGTTTTGTTTCTTTGTTGAAAATGTAGTCATTTGATTTTCTTTATAATTTGCATGCAATGAGCTTGTAACAATACTCACAAGTTAACACCATTTTGCTAACAATTTAACAGAGAGATCTTTAATTATCCCTTGTTGAAGGTTCACTCGATTTTCTAGAATTTCCTTTGTTTTAAAGAAATTTTTTTCAATACTCCAGTTACTTATTTCTTAAATTATTTTTGTGCCAAATTAGACAATATTCATATTCCCCGATGGTCCTGGGATGAGTAGGCCCCTGAGCATGAATGTGAGGCTGATGCGGGGAAAAGTGGATGAGACTTATAGTGTTTGTGTAGCGATTTCTTCACTTTCGCGTAAAAATGCCGAAACATCATTGTTGTGCCTACAACTGTACCAACAGCGAGGCTAAGAAAAAGTACTCATTCAAATACCCCGAAGTTGCAAATGTTGTTTTCCACTGTTTTCCAACAAAATTAATGACGAAAAAAAACAGTATGCTCCTGGAGTAAGTGAACAGGAATGATGTTGAAGGTGGATCACAGCATGCCAGCTGGAAAGCCTAAATGTTAATGTCAAGGCTTACTCGTATATGCTCTAAACATTCCATACGTTCAACAGAGAATCATATGATGTGGTGTTCAAAATAGATGTTCTTGTTTCTTTGAAGATTGTACTCATGTCCATCCCTAGTCTTTGTCTTCAAGAGACCCTTACACCTGTAGGGATTCTTGGTCATATCCCCTCTTGTTTATTAAATAGCAATACACATCTCCCCAGGTAAAGTTTGGGGTAACTCAAATATCAGTGCTCCAGTCAGAATGGAGGTTGAAAGGATTTGGGATTAAACCATCTCTTGTAACCAACTTTGCATTCACAACATTAATATCACTTATAGACTCACAGTCGTTGGTCAATTCGGGAGCGAGTTCGTGGGTTCTTTCCATCAGTTCAACTAATTCTTCCTTCATTTTGTTGGAGACAGATATTCGTCGAGCCTACAGGTATTTTTTAAGCTCTGAAACCTTCCAGTTTTTAAAATTTACTTCCATTTCTGCAAACCGGTCATAACTTTCGCAGCAACTTTTCCCCGCATTAGCCTCACATTCACGCGCAAGCACTTACTCGTCACAGGGCCATCGGGGAATATGAATATTGTCTATTCTTATGAGTGGTTCTCAAGAAATAGGCATATTATTTCCGAGAAGGCAATTTTCCATTCAATCGCAATTTTTTTACTTACTGCGCATGCGCTGCATTTAACAGGGTTCTTTTGGTAATGACTAAAAAGCTGAGAATTGCTGGATTCTTTGCACTGTTAACTTTTCTAACATATCTTTGTAATAAAAGATTAAAGCCTTCAATACACTGCTCAACTATAGAGTAAAACATAGCACAGATAGTGTGGGTACATGTTGAGTAAATGAAATGACCACTCTATTGAAGGCATGTTTGTTTATTGGAATCCCTGTGCGCGCACTGAATTGCATCAGCAAAAGCACACGCAAAAACTGTGTTCAGCCACCTTAATTCAAATCAGTGTGAGTTAAAAGTTTACTTAAGCTTACTAGCGGCACTCATTCATGGCAGACTAGGTACACCGTGTATGCCAACTTCAGTATTGCTCGCCCTGTTATCCAAAGTAAAACTGAAGGAGGAAGAACATTTACTGTGACTGCCTATCAAGCGTGGAACAGCTTACCGCTATCCATGTGGAAAATAGTGTCGTTAAATTCTTTTAGGAACTCTCCTTGGAAAAACATTTTTTGAAGAACAGCAGCTTTTAAATCATTTTATTCTGTGATTTAGTTATACTTTTGCACCATTAATTAACTTTATGACTTTTTTTGTCTTATCTCCTCTATTTTATACATCCGTATTGTATATAATTTTAGAAGGCCACTGATTTGTTAGTATTTTTATACTATTTTAGTGCTACCCTCTTTCAATAAAGTCTTCACTTACTTACTACTTAGGGATTAAGGGTAGGATGAGAAGAGGGAGGGGCATTTTTTAGGAGAGGCATTTTGAATTTTTTTCCCCCAAACTGTGACTAGCAGTCATATTTTTGTTTTGCCATATAGTTGCCTTTAAAAATGCTCCACATGAGCTGTAGGTACTGATAAAGTTTCATTGAAGCTTTTGATAGATGTACAGTTAGCAGTGGTAATTATTTTTCTCAATGGTTACTTCTTCAAAATAATACTGAAACAAGTGTAGTTTGAATGAACAAGAATGATTCATCACATCTAGCCAAAAAAGTACCAAAACAAAAAAATCCTCTTTTGTTTTGGTACTTACTCTGATGTTAAGCAGAGCTAGTAGAGCTTTAATTGAATCCATATGGCAGCCGTCTAAAGCTGAATTGTATGAATTTACAAATTCCATTAATACAAAGCTTCTAATATGAAAAAGTACTAAAATCTACAAAATTAAGCTCGGAATACTAATTTATAGAAAATTCGTAAAAATTCAGACTACGAAAACTGCTAATGCCTGCACATAGATGGCAGAAATGTGCTAGAAAAACACTTGGTATGCATGACAGGATTGGCAAAGTGGCTTTTTTTTCTAAAGTTATAATGACAATAGTTCTTGGGAGGGGGAAAATGGTGCAACTTATGATCTGGATTAGATACAATAGAATCAAACAATTTTTTTTTCCTTTAAAGATGCCATGTTGTATATGATATGGGCAGGTTGTCATTGTAAGAAAGGCCTGGAAAAATAATTGATACTGCACGTTTTTGAATGTGTTCAATATCCTTACTTACAGTCAAACTAAGTGAAGCGTACCCCTCAAGATTACATTATTGAATTGATCGTTTGGATATTGAACCCGCCAGTCATTTCAAGAATGCAATAATGAATTGATTATTTGATTATTGAACCCACTAGCCGTTTCACGGATGCAATAATGGATTGATTATTTGAATATTGAACCCGATAGCCGTATCCGTTTGGAAAAGGCACGGATCATTGTTCAAATCAGAAGTCCATTTCTGATTAGACCAATAAGACTGTTCTATTCGATGAGGAATCCTGAAAATGAACAAACTGCACTGTAAAAACACTGCAAAAACAGTCAATCGCAAATATTTACTAAATAAAAAAGTCTTGCGATGGCTTCACCCGTAAACTATTTTCTTCGACCATGAATGCACACAAGAATTTCTACAAGTTCGTCAAGATGTAAATAGGCGAAATGAGCTGTCGATAACATTCCATTTACAGCATTTAATTTACAAGAAGTTCTACACAACAGTCGAACTCACCTTTCCCGCCATGTCTGAAGCCATGAAATGGTTCCATTTCATCATCACGTGTTGGCATAATCCAATCAGAAATGGACTTCTGATTTGAATCAAAACGGATACGGCTATCGGGTTCAATATTCAAATAATCAATCCATTATTGCATTCTTGAAACGGCTAGCGGGTTCAAAAATCAAATAATCAATTCATTATTGCATTCTTGAAATGACTGGCGGGTTCAATATCCAAACAATCAATTCATTAATGTAATCTTGAGGGGTACGCTTCACTTAGTTTGACTTTAAGTAGTCAGGCAGGCGTGATGGTACAGTGGGGCACAATATTCTAGAACTGGCCTTATACAAGAAAGATAGAACCAGATGATATTGTGTGCTGGAACATTTGCACGCTTAAGCAATGTAAGGTGCAAAGGGCTAAGTGAACTGAATTTTACAAAGATCCAGGTACAATTAAATGTTCAAAATCACAGAAATTTTTATAGACATAAAACAACCACAACATTAATGATTTTGATCCAGTAGAGAGTTATGATGTAACAATAAAGTATGCATATGCTGAAGATTTAAATTACAATTTTATTTTTATAGCATTGTATTTTGAGAAAGCTAATCAGTATGGTCATCAATTTTTTGATCAATTAAGAGTTTTAAATTTAAGTTTAAGTTTAAGTTTAGTTTAAGTTTAATTAATTCACCACAGGGATGGCAGGAGAAAGGAACAGAACTTTCGTTCCAATTGACACCTAAACCCTTTTTTTACCCACCCATCCCACCCCGGAGAGGACATCCATCACACAGTAATCTTGTGTGTGGGAAATTAATGTCTCCTACCCCAACCCTGCAGGAGACGGGACCTCCATTTATTCGTCCCTATCCGAGAAGACTAGAATATCTAAACCATTTCTTGATGTTATAGAAAGGTAGCATATTCTTCTCAATTATTTTAAGACCTTGAGTGTTGGTCTGGCCGGGGCTTGAACCCTCGACCTCCCTCACAACAGTCCAGCGCTCTATCCATTGAGCTAACCAGGAGGCGGTTTTAGTTGTTTGACATAAGGTAGAGATCCTGAGAAGGTTTTATGCAAGGGAATTACTGGGTATTCTCTGTTTGGTGTCGGTGACTTAACTTGTGTATATACCTTCAATGAAGCAACCAAAATAATGCAACTCTCTGGGGACTCTACTTGTGAGTTCATTTGATTTTTTCCTTTCAAATATATACATATTTTTTTTAATTTGAGCTGCCATATACTGGAATCAGGCGGTGTGCGCACTCTGATTGCATTACGTCATGGTTGTAAAACAAAAATTGAGTCACTTGCATCTTGATGTGTTGGTGTGAACATCTTTGGTGGCAGCGAGATAAGGCATGAATATAGGTTGATTGCAATGGGGATTCACTGTCTGTTGCCATTCCTTCGAAAGTTAAAACATTAGACGGGCCTGCGCGACTCCTGTCATTCCTCAGTGACAAATTGGTTTTAAGAAGGCAACTGACGTTATTTAGAAAGATTCAAAACTGCAATCTACCTAAGAATCTTGACACAAATGGCAACAGTTACACTCCCAACCGATGGTGGGATGAATAATTTCACAGTCAGTAATTATATTCCTAGAGGTGAGTTATTCAACTGTGAATTGACCCTCGACATGCAAACGCATAATTATTAGAGAGACAGAGACCTTGTGATAGACAAACTTTTTCCACCGAGCATAAATACGGCATTTGTAAAAGGAGAAGTCCCACGCCTCCTAAGAACGAACTTGTCTCGCTCCACGTTTAGTAAAAATGTACAGAGTTTCTAAATACCCTTGGAGAATAGAGGAAACCTATATGATGGTTTTGAGAACCATATCTCTGGAGTTATTACTTCAGGAGAGAAGTATACTCTGAAACAAAGAAAATAGTGTGTGAACAGAAGAAAGTACTGCCTTTTGTAACGCAATCTCATCTGGCTTTGCCAAACCTCAAGAACATACAGATGGAGAATTATGACACCTAAATACTGACCCGGCCTTATTATCACATCACAAAGGAAAGTCATTAAGAGACATCTTAATAAGAGCTTAACTTTGAGGGTAGAATATTTAAAGGCATTAGTGAGTGGTAGGAGATGTACAGGCCTATCAACACCTTTCAACGGTCCACTGCCTTTTGCTTTCTGGCTTTCCGGCATGTCGCCCCTCGCAAAGTAGAGGTTTTGCATGGATCAAGTGACTGTTTTCATTGCTCTAATTTAACTGTCATTCATTCAATGATCAAGATAGAAGATTCACCACACAACCTTTGCGATTATTTAATTTTCCTTCACTTAGGAAAGTAGATTTACAACACAATTGATAAATGCCCTTGCAGTAGTAACACTATGTAACGCAACACACTAAACACAACAATGGGCCTTTTTGCTCCACAAAAGGTTCTCAAACACTATTACTTAAAATGCATAAAACATTTGTACCGTTGGAGCACATTTGAGCGCGTTTGGTCAGAGCTGTTGAAGAAGGATCAAAGTGGCCATATACAAATCTTTGAAAGGCTTCAAACTATGACATACAACGAATTTGACCTGCTCAAAAACCAGTCTCAAATTACATGCTAAAATATAGTGCTTGCACTTGTCCTTGAGAATGATATAATGAGTGACAAATACACACGAAAATTACTTCTGCACATTCAGATATATCAAATTATAGTGAAAGGAAAAAGAAACAGCCTAACTTTTACAGAATATCACTCAAACTCTACCCGTTTCTACCACTTTTACCGCCATATTGAAAATAACGCTACCACAATGCGATGCAATCAGAGTGTGCACACTGCCTGTACTGGAATGGTGTTCACAGTATACCCTCAGTAACATTTTTGTTTTGTGGGACGTAATTTTTTGCTGTCATTGATATTGCTTAACTATAAATAAGACTCTTGAAAATAGGAAGCAATTAGGTTCTTGTTGTTGCAAGTTCACAATTATAGTCTCACACCATGAGTTTGAGTCACACAAACAGATTCAATATTTGCTCTCATGCTTAAACTATTATTTCACACACATCTAAGGTTTTTTTTTATCTAAACTGGTAATTTTGAGACAGCAAACTCTTGCTTTAGACAAGTTCCTAATTGCCTCTCTAGTTCTGATTTATGCCTTGTTCCCTTGGTACTTGCCTTAAATATTGTCCACTCGAAATTTTTATGCAGAGCCTCTTTTACACTAGTCAGTGGATTCAATGACTATTGCAGAGGCTCTCATGCTGACCACATTTTAAGTAATGTGGACTCTCCATTCATGCTCAAGTTGGGGAGATGAATGTTTTAACTACTTCAATTTTTCAATTTTTTTTCTTTGGGGACACATCCTTAAACTCCCTCTCCCCTTGGGAGTTTATTCTCATATCACAGTCAGTGGCTATGCAGACAAAAATGTCTCAAGTTGTCAACAAATTAACTTGATATTATGTCTCTGATGAAACTAACTAACTTTTTTTTTTTCAGAAATGGAATCAGATGATAGGCGACAGTTGGATGATGTACCTCCTACTTTGAAAGAAAAGTTGATAAAATTAATAGAGTTGAAAAAGGTTCCTTTGGAGCAACTAGCAACTGTCTTGAGTATTCATGACACCTTTCATTTTACATCAGTTGGTGAGCTTGTTAGCCATTATGAAAGGAACAATCAAGCATTGTCATTAGAAAAGTGGAAACTTGTATTTACAAATCTTCAATTGTCCAAGGAACTTGCAGATCTTTTGGCTGATCATTGGGGAGACATGATGGATGGAGTTGACCGCCATGGCTCTCTACCAGCAGAGATGTCACTTCCAGGAACTTTTAGCTGTAGTCGTGACTTGGATGAGCCAATAGACTTTTCTCCACAGGATAAACCTTTCCTTCTAGTGAATGGTAAGTTTGCCTTGTAATTCAACACAAAAAATCATGTATTCCCAAATGTGTCATATTGATGTGTGATTCTCAACAAAGTAATGCTTCATTGTGAAAATAAACACACTAGATGATAAGTGTCAAACATGGAAACAATCCATTATTAGTATCTCTTTTTTATTTAATTTTCCCAACATTAGGAATTAACCAGATCTTTCTCTTTCTACATGTTTGAGAATTTGTTCCTTGGTTTTTTAGTAAGTTATGTTTATATTTATATTGCCAATGGCAAGTTATTTAAGATTCCTTTTGATTCAACTTAATCACTTAATATGTTATGTTGAAGTTTAAGTGTGGTGTCGTAAGAAACCATGAACACATCCAGCCATTTGCAAAGTTCTGGCTAAAAATTTACTTTTTAACTGAAGCCTTCCTTGGAATTGCCTTCCTGACTGCAAAAAGCCTCTAGTATTCATGGTTGTCTGCAAACTTTTGAGGAGCGAAGTTAGACTGCCTCAATACATTTCAAAACTGAGGAAGTTGGTCACCTAATAGTGAAAGAGCTGACATTTCGGGGGTTAGCTCTTCATCAAACAAAGGGCTAAATTGAATAAAGGCTGATAGTTTCGAAAGCAACTGTTTGGGGCTGCGTCGGTGGGAGTAACGAAATAATTTGGATATATCAACAAAGTTGAAATAGTAAATTGGCCACCGTAATGATTACAAATGCTGACGTTTCGAGCGTTAGCCCTTTTGTCGGAGAGAATGAAGGGCTAACGCTCGAAACGTCAGCATTCGTAATCATTACGGTGGCCAATTTACCATTTCAACTTTGGTGATATATCCAAAGGGCTAAATTGTTTGAAAACATCAGCTAATGCTCTAAACATCAGCTTTTCAACTCTTTACCATGACCAATTTACAATTTCACCTTAGCTGTCACAATTTCTACTGATTACTGATTGGACAGGTTTTACTTCTTGAGTGTGATAAACTAACTTAGTAAGTTAAAAGTATAGTATTGGTTAATTTTGTACAGATCAGTTCATTCCAGATTGTTTTTGGTGTTCCATGTTTCTTCTTATTTTGCTCTAGATCCTCCATTATCATTGCAAGTCGCTGAGGCTAGAGCATGTGAATACCAAGGAGCCATTCCAGAGAGGAAACAGGCTCAGCCTCCATACAGCACTGTTGAACCTAAAGTGAGGCAGGAATTATTGACAGGCCTATCAGTTAGAAGGTCACTTTTAAACCAACCCCCCATACCAGGGGGAGATTTTGGAAATGACTGTCAATTCAGTTCTTCCTCTCCACAATCGATTGAAAGTGCTGTGGGGAATGCTTCTTGTTGTGAAATTCTCTGTAATTCTTCAGCAAAAGATGAAAATCAAGAAACTGGGTTCTTCTCAGACAAAGGTGACTCACACACTCAGATAACATCATTCTCCACTGCTATAATGCACACACTTGCTTTGGAGAATGAAGGAAATCGGTTCCAAAACAGTGAATTTACTGTTACACCTGTGGTTGGAAAATCTAAACATAAGCTTCAATCACTGGCAAGCCTCTCAGAAGATTCCAACAAGCAGCCAGATCATTTAAGAACCCCAGCAAGACCCAACACACCTGCTCTATATCCTTTATCAACATATGTAGAGGATAACCCCAGAGCAAGGGAATACCAAGGAGCCATTCCAAAAAGCAAAAGGTATCAGCCCCGACACAGCACTATTAAGCATGATGTCAGGCAGGAATTATTAACAGGTCTACTGGGTAGTGAGTCAGATTTGAATCTACCCTCTATACAAGCAGGACATTTTGGAATTGATTGTCCTCAATCTGGTTCCCCTCCTCCAGAGTCAATTAAAAATACCTTAGGGCATGAAGATGTCCAGTACCAAAACAGTACATCTACATGTACTGTTATACCTGAAGTTGGAAAACCTAAACATCAGATTCAGTCACTGTCAAGCCTCTCGGAAGATTCCAACAAGCAGTTACATCTCTTTGAAATAACCCCAGCCAGACCCACTACTCCTGAAGGAACACAATCTGGAGGAAACTCCCCCTCACTAGTGACAGGACGTCATAACAGCAGGCCAAACCAGACTAATCTAGCTGATGTGGAAGCTGGCATCCCAGAAAATGGTGAAGAAAATGGTGAAGAAAATGGTGATGAAAATGGCAGAGCTGTAGAACATTATGATGCCACAGAAAATAATGGTCTTCTGGAGGAAACTCAACAGGTAATAATATGCTGTTGTACTTACACAGTCATTATGATATGAAGGAAAAGCAAACTGAGCCGTGAAGCTTTTGTCTGGGTTTCAGAAATTTACAGTTTGGAAGATTTGAGACTATAAGCCAGATTCATATGTTAATTTTTGGGGACTCACATTTATCTGTTGATTGTTTTTCTTGGAGTCAAAATTAAACTTATTCAGGTAAGTTGTTTTAGATGCGAAATGAAATGTTCAATTAAAATTCAGCTGATATCACATGTACCTAAACTGGATTCACCTGTGAAGATGACAGTATATCTGTTTTCAGTTAAGTGGGTAATTTTTGGCAGTGTACTGGGTCTTAATGAAAACTCACATCATGGAATTCAACAAAGTAAACTGGATTCACCTGTAAAGAGATAGTATATTTGTACAAGTCGAGTGGGTAATTTTAGGCAGTGTTGGGTCTTAAACTCATTTCATGTAATGCAACACAATGAAATCCGGGTCAGGTTCGATTGAAGACTTGAAAGTTTTCCATTATTGTTTGGAACAGAGGATTATGATGAAACATATATATTAATCCATAATTTGTTATTTTTCAGATGCTTACATTTCTTAAACTTAGACCTAGTATCTTCATGACTTTTTTTCAGGAATTGGAATCCTTAAAGAAAAGTGTCCTGTATCTTGCAAAGGCAAGTTGTGAATTCAATGGAACATTTTTAAATTTTCTTTTTAAAATTTTAATTGGATATATATATATATGATCCAAACTGCATATGTCATAGAGAAATTACTTTTCATCAGCCATGGTTATTCTTAGCTTCATTATACCAGTCTTATTTTAACAATAAATCTTTGTGGAGTTTTTTCCCCCTTTTCTTCTCTATATGGAATTGGCAGTACCTGGTAATTGATTTGAAATCATCTTGTTTTCCTTACTTTACTTTGTTGTTGATTGTTGTATGCAGGTGTGGGTGGAACATGTTGTGAAATGGTGATTGTTGATAATAATTTTGACTTAAATGCAGGTTTTCCTGCCACTTGTGACATACAAACTGTAGGACTGTGAGTCAAACAGTTTGGAATAAACACATTCAAACAAATTATATGAAGGTATTGGATGATAATAGACTAAAGAGCACATCAAGAAATGATCTTATTTTAAATTGCTTAACTTGACATTTTAATTCTTTCTTTAGAAACTAGAGGAAAGGGATTCATTTTGTCAGATTCTCTTAGATGATCGGTTCCAGCTGAGGCAGACTTTAGAGGTATATGTCAGGAATAATAATAATAATAATAATAATAATAATAATAATAATAATAATAATAATGATAATACACTTTATTTTAAGAGGGTGGCACTGAATAGTGAAAATAACTAATACACTTGTGGCCCACTGTCTAAAATTATAACAGAAAAAAGATACTGTGTGCACAATGTATGTAAAAAGTTAAGAGCTAATGATAAATTGACTATTAAACTGTAAAAAGTCTATCAAATTTCTTAATCAAACTTTAAAAATGTCTAAAATTACAACAAGAAGTGGACACTAGGCATATGAGGTGTATTTAAAAATTGAGAGTTTATGATAAATCAGTCATTTCATTCTATTTGTTTCCTCTAACTATGACTTTTGTTTGTTTTTTTCTAGGAATCCAGGCAGCGGTGTGATGATTTAGTGGGGGAAAGGAATAATTTGCAGGCAGAAAATGCAGAGGTATATGGCTTGCATAATGTTGTCCTTGCTAACTCATGGGGTGTTATCTTTCAGAGTAAAGATAGACTCAGCACATGTTGATGTTCGTGGACAATATATAGCCTACTGATTTAAGGAATGCAAAGCACAATAACACCACTTTTGTTGATGCTTAGGCCATCCTATTTTTAAAATCCTTGAAGGTTTTTGAGTACAATTGCTTCAAACACATTTCTTTTTGCTGTTGAGTATTAATTAGGAACTTAAATTACAGATATGAGAATGTTAACCAAATAGTGTCACTGCTACAAAAAGAAATCATCTTGTAAGCTGCCGTATAAACTCAGAGGGGAAAGAAACACCCCGTTTGTTCCTAAATCAGGGGTCATTAATTGTTGTTAAACATAAGTTTAAATGGGTTAATTTTCAAAAGTAGTGAATGTATTTTATATGGGGATCATTCAACTGTCCATGTTTATATTTTCATTTAAAATTAGCCTTTGTGAAATCTGATATGAGAAGGATATCTTAATCTGCCTGAATGTTATTTTTTCGAAAAATAACATTCATTAACAGTTTAAAAACTGTTGATGAGACTATGATTCTCTAAAGTTACTCGGTGACAGGGATTTATATAAATACATAATTTATATTTTGGGGACTAAAAGAACTTTTAATCCTTTCCTTTCAGCTGAGGAGGCATTTGGAAGAAAACGAACAGGTTACCAATACGATGATTGAGGTTAAGTTTACACCCTGACTATTTCGGCATTGTGGTCTAAATATCCTTTACTGAGTTAAGACTCGGAAATCTTAGTGTCACTCTAAATGCAAGCTGTGTCACACCTTAAAGAAGAAACCCAGCTCTTCACAAGAACCAACATTTTATTAAAAATTTCTTGCCAAATTGTTTGCTTACATTAGATTGAGTATTTTGATTGTTTGTTCGTTAGGCCTTTTATTTTTTTGAGCAGGCCAGTTAAAGCTCAAATTGTGTCTGGATTTTTCTCCTAGCAATTTGTCTCTTTAGTGCTGAATAATTGTTGCACAAGCGACCCATGGCATTTAGAGAACAGTTTCTGTCACCATTTTATTCCTCGTAGTTCTCTGTTGTCTTTTTCTTATTTTAATGTGGACTGTACATGAGTGATTACACTCAGAAAACAAACTTCAAAACGCTAGACACTGGGTTTTCGTTTTCTTGTTAAATGAACTATAATGATCAATGTTTGTGTGATGATTGTTTCAGGAAAATCGCCGGTTGTGTTTGCTGGCGGCAGGGTCGCTGTTTGAGGCAAGGAGAGCAGACGATGTTGCTTCAGGAGGAAGAAGAGCAGTCGTAGAGTTGGACCATACGTCGGATAGCGGTGTATGTGCAATTTTGAACGTTCGGTAATTAAAAAGCATAGCACCAGTGCGTGAATGCTGGCATTTGGCGTCAAAGCGGCTGGTGTTACATAAGATCCAAAATTTTTGGCGTTACCTGACTTGGTACTTCAAAATTGAAGTCTTATTGATACTAATGCTGATATGGCCGGGGGCTCGTTGTTAGATTAAAGCAAATTAAAGTATCTTTAATTTGAAGAATGGAGGTTATGTATCCAAATTGAATACTTGTACACTGCTGAATACTTGTACACAACTGTATTTAGAGATCCTCTACCGAATTTTTGGGTACAGTAATGTAAAATGCTTTTTAAAAACATCCGTGTATCCTTACTTTGGCCAAAATTAACAGTTATTTTGTCTTTTTGAGTTGACTAGACTACAGCAGCAGTATTTGCTGAATGATTGAGTTAAAATATAGAAGCCTATGAGTTTGCTCCTCGATAATTTATACCCCTTATGAATAGTCATTAACTCCTTATTTCTAAATAAATAACGTTGAGATTTTGAATTTTTTTGTTTTATCTTTAAGGAGGAGGTTGAACCAGACATTGATGAGCAGCCAGGATCATTTCCCCTAGAGTCAGGTAAATTTTCAGCAGCTATAGCGGATTAAACGTCAAGAAGAGTTTGAACGTTTTTATCCAAGACGTTGAATTTTCCAAACTACTAGTTGTTGTTATTCAGGGAAACCGTGATATTATTGTACTAATCTGTTGAAGTTAAGATTTGCCCAAAATTAGAAAACCAGTCGCTATTTAGGCCCAACACAAACGAGAAAAATTTGATGGTGACTTCGTTTTAGCGGTTTCTGTGGTATGTTATGATTAGGACTGTTGTTACTCCCTTGTTGGAAGGAATAGTAGCCCATTGCAGATTTTGCTTAATAGGCTTCTCCTGGGCTCGCTGAAGTGTGGGGCTCAGGGAAAACCAGTAGTGCGCTTATATCTACTGAAAGATTTTGTTACACGTGTGAAACGTTTAGAGAAGTTTAAAATTTACTTATCTGATTTTTTGAAAGACGCGGACGATTCCAGTGATGACGAGTTCTATGAAGCACGTGATGAATGGTTCCTCTGAATGCAAAGTGGAATACTAAATTTGCTTCGAACGGTAGTTTATTGGCTGAAGAAATTAGTAAATAGACACGTCGGTTTTCACTTGTGTTGTACATATTAAAATTAGACGCATACCTGTAGATGCTCATAATGGCCCAGCTAGGCACAGTCTGCATTCATTTTTCACGCACATTTCATGTGGAATTCTCTATGTGAAAGGCATATGGAGAATGCGATCTCTCTCACACAGCGCTGTCACATGCTTTTTAACGAGTTTTTTAAGCCGACCTGTGAAAAAAAGATGTAAGCATACTTGTGCTCTAGAGCCTCGACAACGATTTACCTCAGGCGTTCTACGGAGTGCTTGGGTAACAAGTGTCATTAGTTTTTGCTAATATGTATTTAATACTTTGTTCGATGACTGCCAAAAGGTTTAGTGATTTCTTGTACATAGTCGTAGATGAATGGATTGTATGTGAACGTTTTTAATAATGGAAGATTCTTCCAAAAATTCTTAATGAAAAAAAAAATAGTGTTCAGATTCATGGAGAAAAGCAAAAATTAGTTTTTCCTCATTTGGAGCATCAATTTTGACTTGGAATTTGGCGATTTCGTATATAAATTGAAATGCACAATAAGCATTTAAGAAAAATGCCACCTAAGACGATGCAGTTTTGAAATCTTCACTCATAGGAGGCAAGGTTATTTATCGACTAATATATACCTAAGCATGGACATATATTGATTTTTAGTAATTTATACATTATACGTCGTGAGATTTTAGAGACAAATACAGGAGACGAAATAGTTCTTTAGTTTATGGTGGTAAGTAAATAACTGGACATTTGTAGATATATTTATGATGGACATGAAGGCAACATGGTGACTTTTTCAGAGTGTGATTCTATGGTAACGTTAAAAGTTTCCAATATCACTACAACTATTTTTACGTATGATGCACGATCCTCGCAGTAGATAGCGCTATTTAAGCAATAGCGAAAATCAGACCTGAAAAAAATCAAGCCTGTACGGGACTCGAACCACTGACCTCTGCGATACTAGTGCAGCGCTCTACCAATTCAGCTAACAAGCCAACCGGGAGCAGGCCGTTAAGTTGATTCGTAATAAACCCGTGAAAGTGATAAACCTTGGTAGAGCGCTGCACTAGTATCGCAGAGGTCAGTGGTTCGAGTCCAGTACAGGCCTGATTTTTTTCAGGTCTGATTTTCGCTATTGCTTAAATAGCGCTATCTACTGCGAGGATCGTGCATCATACGTATCTAATACCGCAGTTCAAAGTATATGAACTTCATATATTTCATTGTATCTGATTTAACACTTTCACGGGTTTATTACGAATCAACTTAACGGCCTGCTCCCAGTTGGCTTGTTAGCTCAATTGGTAGAGCGCTGCACTAGTATCGCAGAGGTCAGTGGTTCGAGTCCCGTACAGGCCTGATTTTTTTCAGGTCTGATTTTCGCTATTGCTTAAATAGCGCTATCTACTGCGAGGATCGTGCATCATACGTATCTAATACCGCAGTTCAAAATATATGAACTTCATATATTTCATTGTATCTGATTTATCACTTTCACGGGTTTATTACGAATCAACTTAACGGCCTGCTCCCAGTTGGCTTGTTAGCTCAATTGGTAGAGCGCTGCACTAGTATCGCAGAGGTCAGTGGTTCGAGTCCCGTACAGGCCTGATTTTTTTCAGGTCTGATTTTCGCTATTGCTTAAATAGCGCTATCTACTGCGAGGATCGTGCATCATACGTATCTAATACCGCAGTTCACCGTTTCGTCTAACTCCTCTTTCCCGACATGAATTAAATATGTTTCTCGCCTAACTGGCTTCTGAGGGTCTCCCAGGGGTTTTCGGGAACAAGAGAACATTGGCAAAATATTAAAGGAACTTAACCCTATTTTTAAGGAACAGGGGAACAAAACTGTTCAAGTTAGAGGAGAAAATATTGTGATATAAGAAATAAAGACCGTTATTTCTGAGATTTTATTTATGGTCATTTATGCACTACTGTCATTGGTTTTGTTTTTGGTGTCTTTCTTTTTTGCGGGAGGGAATTGAGGACGGTGATAAGTGGCAAGCAAATGTATTAAACGGGGAACAAATAAGGAAACAGTGTGGGAACATGGGAACATAGGACAATTTTGGAAGGGTACAAGGGAACATGGACCTCCCTTGGGAGACCCTTGCTTCTAGCCTACAGAGAGGTATAAGTTTTACTGTTAGGCTGGTGCTCAGTATCATTTTGGTGAAAAGTCATGTTTTTATTTTTAAGCAGCGAAAGGCTTGGGAGAGTGAAATTTATAACAAGTGGGTAAGCGACAGTCAACAAGAAGGAGAGGGAAGGGATGGGACAGTGAATATCACTTTTTACCTTTCTGCGCCCCTCCTACCACAGTCCACTCTAGCACTAAATTAAAACTGGCCGGTCGAATAAAAGATCGCGAGCTTCTCACCATTAACTCGCCCTAAAACTCTTGCACTGCAGGCTAACTGGCTATAGAAACGAAACGTAAATGCATTAAAGGGAGGCTTACAATGATTGGTATCCAGCTGACATAGAAATCCAGTTATAAAACTGGTGGCTCTCCATCAGATGCCTGTTGACTCGGCATCGACTGAACCTTGGAGCTATTTTTGATTCCCTGCTTCTTGTTGCATTTTGTTCGTATTTTTCCTCCGTAATTTTGTCGCTGTCGTCGTCCTCTACCGATGTACTCGTTCCTCTTGTGGCGTTGTATGTTTTTTCGCTATTGCTACTACCGTGAATGCCATTTTCTTTAATATTTGACATTCGCCTTTCACTTGCTGTTTGCATTTCCACAGCTTGTAGCCTGCCACTCAGAAAGGTCAGCGTCCAACCTCGTCGAAGCCCGCCGAATCATTTTTCATATTTGCCCATTTTTCTTGCAACGGCGACGAAACAGGACAGAACAATCACGAGTTGAGTATATCCTAATATGGCAATAAATTGAGTGAAGCCCCCGTCGAAGTTGAAGGAACAAACTCCCCTGTAAGCTAAAACTCTTCCCCAGCCCATCGCGGGAAATGCAGATATAAATGCCGCTGACAACACAGCACAAAAAATTAGTTTGGTTACCTTGTCACATGTGACTTTGGTTCGATAATACGGATTGGCTGTAAGGTTGCACAGAAACAGTCTAGAGCCATTAATGACGCCACAAACGAAGCTGACAAGCGAAGAAAAGAAGAAATCCAGTTATAAAACTGGTACAGCTCGTAACTTACGTGTCCACTCTGAAACCCTCTGTGATCGATTTGAAACACAACGATCGATATTAAGACAGGTTCTAAGTCATTTAAAAGATCTATCACAGCTAACGAACCAACAAGGAGATCCGAGGAACTCGTCGGACGCGAAATGATTTGATCGCAACTAGAAGAAGAATATTTCCAATAAAATATCATGCAGAAGATGACTGGCAAGATGAACAGAAAGCCCCTACTGTATTGACCTCCTTTGTCACTTGTTATATCCGACCGTTCATAATTAGTTCCGTTCATTGCGACTGTTTTAACACCTCGAATAGAGCGTTAAATGGAACTTCTAGAATGCAAAGCCCAAGCTTTTGTATGAAATAATGCTTTCCAGAAAACCACGTCTTCTTGGATAAACTAGTCGTTGTCTTCTAATTTTCTCTCTAAAAGGAAAAAATCGAAATGAAAGACAGGCTTAAGAAAGTAATGCCTACCTTATTCGAGAAAGAACTATCTGGAAAAGCTTTAGTAATATACTGAACGGTGGGACAAATATCTGATGACTGATATACCAATTTGAGAACAATATTAGGCTGGTCGTTTTGTTTTGGCGTTCACTTCCATTTTTGCAATCAGATTATGACTAGGAATAAAAACAAAATTGCGAACTATTTAAGAAACATTTGCTTATTATAATTTGTCAAAAACTACCTCCAATAGGGCTGAAATGTAGCCAAAAACAAATTACTTAAAATGTACTTCACCTTTTGGACATATGTCTTATTAGAATTTCTCAGAAAGAATGCCATGGCTTCCTTTTCGTAATGATCCAAACACATCTGCCCTCATTTATCCGAGCGTTGAAATGCACGGGCTTAAGACAACTTTAGACAGCTGCCTCGCAATCAAAACTTGAACTTTGCTCGTCATGAAAGTGTGCCTTTTACGAAGGTCTTCAATTTTCTGGTGATTAGAGGTTTGGTTCTTTAAATTTTAAGCGCCTGCGGAAATCAATCAGTATCAGGGCTGGGAGACTTTGGATATAACATTTTCAAGAACAAGTTAACCGCTACGCCCTTTTTCTCCTTTGCCTCTCTTGTCAATCTCACTTTCATTTCGTTGGAACGTGCACATACAACATATCGCTGTTTCAAACATCGTTTGATTAAGAAATGGATTTATGGAGTAACTATAGGTTTGACTTAGTTAACAACAGTATGCAAAGGTACGAAACAAGGGAGTATGTGCGTTGAGTTTTGAGAGGTTTGTAGTAAACTCTGTCGTCGAGTTGCCGACTTTAGCTTCTTCTATTTAGTTTTCTGTATTATTCTTATTCTCAGACTTCAAAACCCATTACAAGTCGAATGAGAACTTCCAATTTACGCATATCGCCTCGTGCTACCTACCAGACGTAAAATATGGTATCATTAAAAGGCGAAGCAATAACTGAACTGCACAGAACTAACTCTTCGAAATAAACAATTGAAGAGAGTCAGTTAAAAACTCAAACAACGCCTCAAAGCAAGAGGGTACCTAGAAAACCGTGATCATAGAAAGGTCTCTGTTATTTCAAGGATCAGCTTTGCCTCTAGACAATCGGCCCTTACACATGCATAAAAGCAAAAAGGTCACGAACGTTACCATCATCCAGCAATAAAAAATTTCAAACAAATACTGATAGAACATTGGAGTCTGATACGCAATCAATCTTTGTCGAAAACATTTTTTGCAAAACCTCTGATCATCTCTTACAAAAAGGGAAAATTCCTTTAAAAAGCACGTGTGAGAGCAAAAATATTATTTGAAGGCGATAGTGTATTGCGATCACAAAAGCCTCATAAGGAGTCCTTGCCCGTCTCATGTGGAAACCACCAGGAGGCTTGGTTACTAAATTGAGCCTTCCCGGCCTGCCTCCCGCTCTTTTTCCGTCATAGAACTCGCCAATCCTCGCCAATCCGAAAAACTGAAGGAGAATCGTGACGTCATGATGAAGGTAAAGTCCACTCTCAGTCAGTCGTTCGTGAAACAAACCTAACGTACGTCAGAATCGTGTTCTGGGAATTTTCTGCCCTGAAAAGCCGTGGAACAGTGGAGATAATTGGTTTCTTCCGGAATTTTTGTCTTTGGTTCCGGGTACTCAACACTGTTAGGATATGCTTGAGTTTCAACCGTGTATAAACGCTACAAAAGCGGACAGAAGCTCCCACTCACTTTCATCGATCGGTACGTATGTACATTGTATCTCTCCAATTTTACCGCGTATATGTAAGTGAGCAAATGATCAAGTTTTTATCGATAATTCGATATAAACTGCGTGCTTGTATCTGCCAGCTTGTATATTTTTCTTTCGGGCCTTCCGAAAGTTCAATATACAGAAGTGAACGTAATCTAATTCAATATTCGATCGCATGCCCTTCGGAAGTTGGCGAAGGTTCTTCAACGAACTAGTATTGATTTAAGTGCGCTAAGTACTGTGCAAGCCTTTTCGGAGTCAAGGAAAACAGCTTAAGAACTGTTTAACATACAAATACTTGAGAATACCTACAAGGACGTTTAGAGATACACTGTGAAATTGTGAGCAGCGTGAGAATATAATCATAATAATAATAATAATAAACTTTATTAATGTGTCAAATCAATAGCAGTTTCCCACTAAATAAGGACACCTAAACTAAACTAATCTAATAGATATAAACAGGGGTTTCATTAAGGGCTGGGCACTGGCCAAATTCACCGGTTGTAAGGACGGTGTTGCCCACCTGGTTTAACAATCTGGAGGAAGGTTTATCTTATAAAGAAGTTTAGTTCAAAAAGTTTTGCCTGCCTGTGAAAACCAGTTACCCTCCTGCTGAAAAAATTAATGAAACCCCCGTATAAAACGCATAAAATATGCAATCCTGCCCCGTATAGTTGAGCCTATATATATGTACTACCCTACCCTGTGTAATTAAAATTACCTAAAAGATTAGAATTACAATACTGATAATATAAAATATTAAGATTTACATAAAATACAGTTCTTGCAATTGTCCGAGGAGATTAAACTTTGTCTATCTAATGTATGTAAAGCACTTTTAAATTCTTGTAGCATTCTTAGTGTTCTTGTTTTTCCATCTAACTTAGACCAGATTACTGGACCTAAGTACCAAAGAGAGTGCTTACTATAACGTGTTGTGCTTACTTTGAGAATAATGAAATCATTGTTTCTTAAATTATATCTATTATTATTAATGTCAAACAAGTTCTTAATATTATTTGGGCACAGGTCATTTTAACTTTATACATTAACACGGCTATGTCATGTAATCTTCTATTATATAAGGTTGTTAGATTTTGGACGTGCGTTTGTCAGTGGGTGTTTACAGCACATTGAAGTTCACTGCGGTGTATGTACATGTTAAGTACAAAATCAAAGTCAAGTCAATTCTTTCTTATTGGAATCGAGTAAAATCTGTAACGATTATCCATGTATACTCGTATGTTTCAGGAAGTTACATTTCCATACATTCCATCATCGTGACTTTCAGAAAGCTCAGCATATCGTTCTGTGCTAGTTTTCTCTAGATTTTCTGGACCATGCAGCGAGAGGAAAATTGATTAAGAAGTGTAATCATTCGCTCTAATCCTTAATCACTTAAAATTTCAGTGAATTAGCAGTGAAGTGTTGGTGACATATCAGTGGAGCATCAACATTTTTCATTTTTCTATCCATCAATAATCGTTGGACAGCCAACTGTACAGCAAATGAGCAGAATTTTTTTCTTGGTCAAGTCTATAGAACCCTTTATATGAATGGTCTTTTTCTTGGTCATGTCTTTAGAACCCTTTATATTAATGGTTTTTTTCTTGATCATGTCTATAGAACCCTTTATATTAATGGTTTTTTTCTTGGTCATGTCTATAGAACCCTTTATATTAATGGTTTTTTTCTCGGTCATGTCTATAGAACCCTTTATATTAATGGTTTCGTGTGTGTTGTTTTCTACTTTTGCATACTCCTTATGCAATCCATAAGATGCACAGATAAGGTTGTAGGATGTATTTTGCAAACTAAAAGTAATATGCTTAACTGGAATAATAGTGGAATAATAAATCCCTTATTTGATTGTTTAAGATATTTTTCCTTGTCCCATTGGACCTTGGGAAGATATTATGCAACTCAGACATATCTGTGTATATACAGTATTATATGTTAAACCATTGAATATGATACATTACAATAACACAATATTTTATTGACAACTCCCCAAAGGGGCTTTTCAGAGACAATAATGATTAGACAATAGCAGCAACAATAAAAAAAAAAAAAAAAAAGATGGTAATGGTTAAAAAGAGTAATGCTATATACATTATAGAAAATCAATCCCAAAAAATGATTTATAGAGTGTTAGAACTATAGTATAACTTAATTATAAGAACAGAAACTCATGCTAAATCAAGTCAAGAATTTTTTTAAAAGGTCTGATTTAAGGTTACGTTTAAAACTAGCTACACTAAGACTTGATTTAAGTTTATGGCTAATAGTATTCCAAATACTTACAACGCGATAATAAAAGGACCTCTGGCGAGTTGCTGTTTTACAGGGTGGAATGTTCAAGTTCCGTGAACTGCAGGTCACTCGACTCAGTACTGCTACCCCTAAGAATAAACTTATTACTTAGGTATTCCGGTAAGACCCATCATGCACTTAAAAGCCATGACGGTGTCTCTCAGGTAAAGGTTTGATTTAACGGGGATCCAATTTAAGCTTTTAAGAGAAGGAGACACATTCCTAATGTTGCATACGATTCAAGCAGCAAAGATTTGTATGTCTTGCAGCTTCTTTATATTACTATCCGTGGTATTCGCCCAAACTGACGAACAATAATATAATTTACTAAATACTAAGGAATTGATAGTAATAATCAGTATATCTCTCCTAAATGCGTGCTTTACACGACTTATTTGTCCCAATCTGGACATACACAAGGATACAGTTTTAATGACACGTTCGTTAAAGGTGAGATTTTTGTCAAAAATCACTCGGAGATCTTTTACAGTCTCTGTGGGTTCAAGATCTTTTCCCAAGAGTTTAAGGCGAAATTCCGGGAGTTTTGCAGTCGCCTGTCTCCTTCCATATATACTTAAATTGGTTTTGTCAGGGTTTAAGAGCAGACCATTATCAAAGCACCAGTTTCGTATGCTGACGAGGTCCTCGTTCATAGCAGATATGGTGTCTCCGCAGTCCTGGGGTCGGAATGACATATATAACTTGGTGTCATCCACATAACTCTCAGTTAGGCAGTTTCTTGGAGTAGATGGTAAATCATTGCCATAGATTCCAAAAAGCATTGGCCTCAGAATGCTACCCTATGATGTATACAAACATAAATGTTTTGCAGGATCATTATCATCATCTTAATTTGCCTTATTTTAACAATTAAAAATAGTTAATTACAGCGATAACAGTTAGAAGGCGAGGAGACCCAAGGAGCCACCAGGCTTATGGGAGAGCCACCTCACTTAGAATAATAAATGAAGTAAAGAAAAAGTGCTGCGAATGTGTGGCTTGGCCAATTCAGTGATTATTTAAGTAAAAACTGTTGCAATCTCGCTTTAAAGCTAAGAAAGTTGAAATAGGAAGAGAGTTCCAAATTTTAGGACCTTGGTAGAGAAATGTAAACTGCTTGACATTTGTACGGCACAAATGCGTTCGATAATTACTGGCTGTTCTGGTACCATAGTTGTGAATTTGGCTATTCCTTACAAAAAGATTGAGAAGCAATGGGGGCAATAAGTTGTTTTTGAAATAAAACATAAATTTAGCGATTTCAAACGTATTGACTTGGAAAATATCTAAAATTCCTAGTTTGGAGAATAAAGGGGCAGAGTAGTCTCAATAGTCTGAGTTGGTGATAGCCCGCAAAGCTCGCTTTTGCAAATAATAAATTCTATTTAAGTTAGATACGTATGTGGACGACCAGACGGAGTTACAATAGACGATATAAGGATAAACTAAGGTGTAATACAAAGTGAGCTTGGTTGCAGAGGATAGGGAAAAGCGAGACCTAAATATAATACCTATTGATTTAGCGATTTGTTTACATACATAGCTGATATGGTATTTCCAGGNACGAGTTAAATTTCTTCTTTCTGGTTTAAAAATTATATATTTGGTTTTCTTTACATTAACTAAAAGCTTGTTACATTTTAGCCAAACGTCAATGTTTTGGAGTTCATCATTAAGTGTAGATTCTAAGCAATTTAGATTTGAGTGAGAATAAAAGATACTGGGGTCATCAGCAAAAAGTAGAGTGTCTGATAATTCAGAGGCATTAGGAAGGTCATTAATGTATGGAATAAACAATAGTGGGCCTAAAATCGAACCTTGAGGGACACCACACTTGATGGTTTGCATTGGAGAGCAAGCTTGATTGAATTGGACAAATTGCTGGCGGAAAGAAAAGTAGCTTTTAAACCACTGCAGAGCCACATCACGGATACCAAAGTGCTCCAATTTGGCAAACAAGATTTGGTGGTCAAGAGTGTCGAATGCTTTGGAAAGATCTAGGAAAACACCCACTGTTGTTTGGTGTTGGTCAATTGCAGATGCAATTTTGTTTGCCAAATGAATTAGCGCGTGCGATGTTGAGTGATTTTTCCGAAATCCGAACTGACAGCGGTAAAGTCTATCGTGTTTTTCGGCAAATTTTACTAAGCGATTGTATATGACTTTTTTGAAAAATTTAGAAAAATTAGACAACAAAGAAATGGGTCTGTAGTTTACAAAAAAGCTAGGATCCTCTGCCTTGAAGATGGGAATGATTTTAGCAATTTTAAGTTTGCCCGGGAAAATGCCTTTTAGTAAAGATAATAAGGATTGTAATTTTTTCGATGTTACTGATCATACTAATTTTAAGTGTAGGTATCTATGTACGCTTAATTGACCACTCTCCAATGTTGCATTTCAGGAACAACACAAACAGCTTGGAAACAAATATTGTAGATAAACAGTGTTCAAAATCCCAGCTACCAGAAGGCAGACAAGTTGGCTATATACAAAGTGCAGCCAAGGAATTAAACTGGTGGGAATAGTAACCTGGTGGAGGGCTTGCCCCCTTAAGTAGCAATTTGGTTCTTATTGTTGGTGTAGTGTCTCTAATGAGAACTTGCTGTATTTTGTTTAGAAATGGGACCAGAGGATAGGCAACAATTGGATGTGACTCCATCCTTGAAAGCAAAATTGTTGAAGCTTTTAGAGTCACGAAAACTTCCTTTGGAGGAACTAGCAATTGTTTTGTATATGCGTGATACTCCTTTTGCATCGGTTTGTGAGCTTGTTAGCGATTATGAAGGGAAATTCCAGGCATTGTCATTGGACATGTGGAAGTTAATTTTTAAAAAGCTTCAATTGTCCAAGGAACTTGAAGATCTGTTGGCTGTTCATCAAAGGGAAATGATGGTTGATCCTACAGCTATGGATGAATTAGATTGCAGTGGGTCACTAACAGCAGAGAGGTCACTGCAGAGAAACCTACACCCTAGTCAGCGCTTAAACGAACCAATAAATGTTCGTTTACAAGGTAAGCCTTTTCTTTGTGTGAGTAGTGACTTTGCCATATATGTGTACCCAGGTGAAAGCATATTGCAGGATCCTGCCATTCCTGAATGGAATCCCAGTTATCTCCTGGCCAGGATCTCAGCTGGGATCCCGCCTGGGATTATGGACCACCCCTCAGGGTGGAGGGAGTTTCACCAAGGTCTATGGTCAACCTCTGAGTGGGACCTTGTCAATCCCATCTGGGATCCTTGGACTCTCTTGAGTGAGATCCTGCCTATTTTAGTGGATATCCACTCTAAAGTCTACTGTGGGATCCCAGATAGGAATTTTAAACATCCTACACAAAATCCTGGTTAACTCCTCACATAGGACTCTCCTAAAAGTTTCAGTGGTCTCCATCTTNTTTTTTTCTTGGAAAGTTTCAAAATAAATGGTGAATTTGAAAATACCCTAATTGCACAGTTGTAAACAAGGTAGAAATTGGTATAATTATTGGCTAAAATGCACTTTTGGCACATACAATTGCACTCCAAATTGTGGTTTAAAAAATCCTAATTCCAATTGAAGTTTAAGAGCCAGAAGCCTTTAGAGAAACACGTGTTTACCGCCTTCCGGTTAGCTCAATTGGTTAGAGCGCCGGTCTGTTGTTCTCGGATCAGGACAAATAAACCGTAGGTCCCGTCTCCTGCATCTATTAATTAGTTAATTTGGTTAGGCAGGAGACGTTAAGGAAGCCACTCAGGAGATTACTGTGATGTGGTCTGCCCTGTTTACTCAGAATCGGGGGGTAGCTATGTTACGGCACATTTGAATATATATGCATAGAAATTGCACCTTAGAAGTCAACAAATTATTATTATTATTGTTGCTATTATTATTATTATGATGTTGTACTCACCAAGTGCTACCAAGTTTAAATTCACTTGCTTTGTAAGCAATAACAATCGTAATCACACTGATACAAATGCTTTTGTTTAATCTATAGGCTGTTCCAAGTCTCAACTATAACACTAAATGACAATTCCTTCTTTTGTTCAGAAAATTTTTGTTATCATTGTAACCAGAAAACTGAGGATTCTTGACAAAAAGCAAAACCTATGACTTGCAATCAATGGTGGTTACATCATTTAAGTGGGGCACTAAATCAGCCTCTAGTCACGTGCATAAATGTAATGCTGTTGTTTAACGGTCGTACTCTGCCTGCACTAACACTTCCATTGATTCGCATCTTGTTCGGTGTCTTTTGTGTTTATTACCTTAGAAGAATTTTTCGACTTTCTGAATCTTAATTAAAGAAATAACAAAGAAGAATTGAAAAGTGTGGTCTATGATATTACTGCAAGATCTGCGTCATGAAGAACAGGACTGAACTTCTTGGTGCTAGCATTTTTTGCTAAGATGTGAGGCCTTTGTGATGTCTCCCCATTCATGCAGATATGGATGTCTACAGCTAGAGTACTAAAGATGTATTTATATACATCTAACCAGCAGATTTAGTGGTGCATTGTATCGTACGACATTTAAACTTTCATTTGTCTATTTAAATTTCAAGATATTCTGATATTCCCACTGCAATCTATTTCTGATTTAAATGGTTGTTCTGTGCTTTTGAACAATGGAAGAGGTTTTTTTTTATAGGACTATAGCTGGAATCACATTTCTTAAAATTAATTTAGAGATGTGTTTCACATGTGGGCCACATGGGATCCCACTTATACTTCTGGAATCCCAGGTGGGAGGAAGGATCCCTGTCAGGATGACCTTAACCTCCAGATGGCATCCCTCTTATTCCTCTTGAAATCCTGGGTGGGAGGTCGATTCCTAGGCAGGACAACCACGATTGCCAGGTGGGACAGATGGGATCCCACTTATTCCACCTGTAATCCTGGGTGGGAGGCAGGATCCTAGCCGGGATTGCATGTTTGTCCTAGACGGGATAGGTGGGATCCTATCTATATCGGCAGGATCCTGCTATTCCCACCTGGGATCCTTGGTGGGATCAGCGGGATCCTGCCTAACTCCCGGCTGCCTTTTTACCTTGCTAGTTAAAGAAAACAATGATGTGTCAATCATTATCAACTATATATGTGTAACCTCACACATGCCTTTATTTTAACAATAGTAAAATATGCTATCAGAAGTGTTCCAGGGCCCAAAATAATAATACTTTGTTTATACATCAAGCATAGCTAGTTTACTTTGCTCTCCAAACAAGAGAACACCTTTTAATACTTTGTTGTTTAGATGACCATGATGGTACTTTTTTACCAAAATCTTTGTGCAAGTTTCCTAGTTGTCCTTCTTTTGAAAAATTGATGTGTCAGTCGTTTCTTGTCAATGCTGCTTGGTTCTTAGTCTTCTCCGCGGTAATACACAGGTACATGTGTTCTAGTGATATGATGAAAATAACAAACTTTTCATATCAAGAATAAAGGGTGAAAGTTTTTAAAGAAACTGTGGTGTTGCATCGGTGGGGGTACACATTCACTGCAAGCTTGAAACAATTTTCCTTAACCACGGAAGTTTATGAGTAAAGAAAGTTCTGATCAATCCAAAGCAAAATAATTTTAGACACAACAGACCTATCTTGGCAACTGTAGTAAATCATGCTACCTATTTCTTGGCTCTTCAGACAAGTTCTCAATATAGCACCTGCTTGTACAAGAATTAATACTCAGCAGTTTATTTGAATAGTTTTCAAATTCAACTGAGTTCACTAGAGTTTTATTCAAGTTCTTTTTGCATTCTTGACATATATCTTTGAGTTTGCAAAAGGACCCATTCTGAAAACAGCACTTGGCATATTATCCATTGTGAACAGTGGGTGTATCTGTAAGCATTTGAGCACCTCATTTGTACAAAAATGATCCACTATTCTTACATGACCCATGAACAGCATTACAATACCCTGAGCATTTTAAGCCGGAATACATTCGATGCCAAAACTTCAATTCATTCCCAGGCTGTGTCAACTACATTACTTTACACCAATTAAAAACTGCCACACAGCACCTATTGTGTACTTTTCTGTACAGGAAAAAGCAACTGAAATTTCTGACTCTGGCTGGTTTCCAGCCAGACTAATAATAGATTGACTGAGCAATTCCCAATTACAACTAACTAGTTATATAAATTTATAAGTAAAAGGACTACCTGTTGTCCAATTTTGGAAATAATTGGATGAAAAAGATGCCTCTGACAGCAAAGTTGGACTTGGCCTACAGCCTTGTCCAATTTTGGCTGTCCTCGGAATTCTTTTCATCCTATTATTTCCAGATTGGACAGCATTTAGTTCTATTATACATACTTATGAGGTAATATTAACCTAATTTTTTTACATTGTACATGTTTGAAAATTTGCTTTTTAATGTAGCATACAGTTTGTAGTACTGTTATAGTGATACATTGATCGTTATCCACAAAATTTTATGTTTAACTCAATGCTTCACTTCACTCTCATTTTTGTATCTTTAAGTGCCAACTTAAGCTGTTCATCTTCCTTTGCTCCAGATCCTTTGTTAAAGTTCCCAGTGGTTGAGGAAAGTGCTAGAAAACATGAAGGAGCAATTCCAAAAACTAAACAGTGGCAGCCTGATCTTCAAAGCACTGTTAGGCGTGATGTTAAGGAGGAAATGTTGATGGGTCCTCTTGGTAGTCAGTCTAATTTAAATCTACCTTCCATAACACGGAGAGAGTTTAGTGATGAATGTGCTCAATCTAGTCTCCACCCTCCAGAGTCAAGTGAAAGTGCTGTGGGGAATGTTGATGGTTGTAAAAGAGGATACGAAAGTCAAGATACTGGGTTCTTCTCTGGAGAAGGCAACTCTTACACCCAGATGTCATCATTATCCACTACTCTAGAGCGCACACCTGTCTTACCTGCTTCTACTCCTGTAGTTGGAAAAACTGAACATCACAGTCAGGTGCTGAAAAGTGTCTCAGCTAGACCAACTACTCCTGAAGGAGCAACAACTGATAGAAACTCCCCTTCAGTAGTAACAGGATGTCACAACAACAGGCCAATAAACCTGAATGACCTAGTAGAAGTGGATAATGTCCCAGAGAATGGCGAAGAAACTGGGAGGCCTGTGGAACATTATGACGCCAGGGAAAATAAGGAAGAATTACTGCAGGTAATAAGGTGCTGTTGTGTTTATTGTAATAATGAAATCATTATTTTAAAAGAAGAAAAAGCAAATTGAGCCGTGAGGCTTTTGTCTGGATTTCAGGACATACCAAGCCTCTTAAGAACATGTTTTAAAGCTGTTTTGTGGGACGCTGTTTCAAATTATTACTTTATAGAAGCTGTGTAATCAGATGTTTGTTGACCTCAAATTTAGTACACATATTGAAAATACAAGATGGTGACAACTTGGAACCTATGAAAAAGTCAGTCTTTCTGTTCTTTGTTTCAGATTTTCATTCAAGGTAAACCTGGTTTACCTATGCACATAATTTGTTGGTCTGAATAGGGCCAGGTTCATACACATGTTTCTTCTAGGGACTCAAATTTTACCTGTTGGTTGTTTTTCTGGGAGCCAGTATTAAACTTACTGGGTTTTTTTTAGGTACAAAATGATCAATTTAGCCGATTGTCTGATTGTACCTGAACAGGACTCACCAGTGAATAGATGAGATAATTTCACCATTATTGAACATGGAACTTTTAGCAGTGTGGGATTTAATACTCTTATCATGAAACATCCTCGGAGACCCAGGGGCTGAGTGGATTTCAAGTTAGGGCATGAAGAGCCCCTGGGGACATTGTCTTACAAGACTTGTTCCAAACGGTCGCAGTGGCTCTGCCGTCTGATTGGTGCCAGAAAATCTTTGTGTTTTTCTGCCCAATCAGAGTGAAGTGTGCTTTAGGGTCCTTTCGTGTGTTTTAACACGGACACATACTAGTAGCCCAGTTGCTCGCCATGTTTGTTTGGACCGTGCGACAGAGATTTGCTTGAGGTGAAAAGTTTCAGTCTCGGCACACAAAGTAAGAGAAATCGATCAGATTGTCCGCGAAAATCTTATCGGAAGTTATACTGAATACTTTCGCAGGTATCACTAGAAGTTATTTCGTCGCACGGGCCACGCAGGTATGTCGAGCAACTGGCGCTTTCGCCTACGTAGCTTTCTGCTTTCTCTGCGCGCCAAAATCTAATCTTAGTAGTAAAGTCATTCACAATACGGCCAAGGTTGCAGAGAACGTTAAGTTCGTGGACGACCTCCAGCAAGTGCTAAGAGAAAGCTTAGCTGTGTTTCCGGTTTGCTAATTAAAATCTGAACAAAAACTTATTAACGAGAACATCGTGGGAAGGAGAGATGTTTTCGGGCAGTTACCGAAGGGGTTTGGAAAGAGCTTAATCTTTCAACTGCTGTCTAGAGTGTTGAAATTCTTGAGCTAGGAAGGCCACGGATTCTCTTCTAGTCCCT